AAGGAAATCAACCCTGAGTGCTCACTGGAAGGACAGATCCTGAAGCTGAGGCTCCAATACTTTGGCCATCTCATGAGAAGAGAAGACTCCCTGGAAAAGACCCATATGTTGGGAAAGTGTGAAGGCAAGAGGAGAAGGGGACGACAGATGATGAGGTGGTTGGACAGGGTCACCGAAGCGACCAACATGACTTTGATCCAACTCCGGGAGGCCGTGGAAGACAGGAGGGCCTGGTGTGCTTTGGTCCATGGGGTCATGAAGAGTCAGACACGACTTAACGACTAAACAACAACAACAACAATAAATATTTGTCACGTTATATCTCTTTCTCTGATGTCTGACGAAGTGGACTTGTCCATGAAAGCGCGCATTAAAAAATGTATAATAGTTGGTCTCAAAAGTTCCAGCACATTCTTCTCTTTTTTATTTTATTTTTTGGGGGGGTTTGTGGGGTTTTTTTTTACTATTGTTTTGTTTTTCTCTTGCTTCAGTGAGGCTTTTTTTTAAAATGGTCTAATAAAGATATCACCTGCTCTTGCATTTGACTTAGCGAATGTGTCAAGAGGGAGCACAGAAGCGGATGGAGATGGGGAAACGGGACAGAAAGAGTAAGCAAGGCAAAGGAGAATATAGGAGGGAAAGGCAAAGACAGCTGAAGAGAAGAGAAGGAGGAAAGCAAGATGGTGGAAGATGGAGGGAAAGAAAAGAGGAGGGTGGAATCAAGGATTTGGAATCGTCTGAACCCCCAAATCCTGTTTTAACATTAATACTCGTGGAAAGGAAGGGTTTGACTTAAGATTGCTCACTTTCAACCATTTTTGGGGAAACCAAATAAGTCATAAGTGTGAACATCTACTACAGCAGGACCCCCTTATCCACAGGATCGGTATCCGCTGAGTCACTGATCCACGGTCTGAAAATATTAAAAATATTAAAAGAAAAATCCCCAAAAGATATATTTCTAGTGGTGACATTACCATAACTGGCCAGTAGAGGGAGCCAGGGCTATGCAATGCTCTGTTGTTTTAAATGTGTTTTCGTACTGATTTTATTACTGTTTTACATGTAATGCTAGTCCAATTC